ATTCTTTGGAGGTATTTGGACTGTGGCTCCTTTCCTTGTGACCTCATCGAGGTTGCCATTTGCTTGTGGTATTCCCAGGTACTTGTAGCTGTGCTGTATGTCTGCTATTGTTCCCTCTGGGAGTGAGACCCCTTCTGTGCGGATGACCTTCCCTCTCTTTGTAACCATCCGACCACACTTCTCTAGTCCGAATGACATCCCAATGTCAGTGCTTTAGATCCTGGTGGATATATATATATATATATAACTGAACTGAACTGACTGCTTTTCTAAAAAAGAAAACATCGTTTTGAAACTTTGTTTTTTTTTTTCTTTTACCTCTTACAGGATACAGGAGAGCCTGGTTGGTGGCGAGGAGAGGTTGGAGGCAATAATGGAGTCTTCCCCAACAACTTTGTCACCGTAGTTTCTGAGCCAGAAAAAGAGGTGAGATTCTTTGTCTCTTTTACAAATTTCATGAAGTAGAACTGATTTCTATCTGGGGTTGTGTTATAGTTATCTTAATGTGTATTGAAGTCTGCTGTGTGTATTTGGGTACCTCAAAGAAAGCATAGACTTGAGTTTAATTTATCCAATAAAGAGGAGGTATTGTTGTATCTATATCAGGACTATTGTAGTCTCTAATTTGTCTCGGGCTCCTCTACTTTTGTCTGGTGTCAGAGTACAAGCCTTCCAAATGTCTTTACTGCTTTTTGGGCTTACTTGCTTAATTTTAAAGCAGTGGAACAAGCGTGCAGCATGCTCTGTACCTGATGGTTTATCCATTTGCCTATGTGTGAATCTCTGTATTAGACAATTCTAATAGAGGCACCACTGATTTAGTCTGGTGTACACAAAGCATGTTCTTCTATGTCTATTCCTGTGTTCTCATATGTAGATTCAATCACAAAAATGTCCCAGTTGGTGCTGGCAGAACAGTTTTAGTATGAGCTCTGTTTCAGTTGACCATTCCATAATTGTTCTCTTTACAGAAGCACATTGTTTGATGTAGTAGGGCTGTGTATTGGCAAGATTTTGGCGATACGATATATATCATGACAGAGGGGGTCACGACACGATATATCCCGATATATTGTGATACTATAAGCAAGGCAATATATTGCGATTTTTTTTGGTCCAAAAATTCTGTTAAATAAAAACCTCTTACTGGAAATAAAAATGAAAAACCAAAATTCATTGTCTCAGAAAATTCTAATATTACATAGACATACTTTTGAAACATTTAGCTGTGTTCTGCTTTGTATGCATTTGTTTTTATTTGTTTCATATTTCATCCATGTTTTTCAATTATTAGACTAAATTTGCCAATAAATAGTTTGAAAATATATTTTTTGCAGCTTTTAGTTTTTAATTTTAGTTTACAATATGGTCACCCAACACTTAACAATAGCCTTTATGTTGTCATAAAGTTCAATAAACAGATGATATGAAGCTGCTGCACACAGTTTCTGGGATCAGCTGACCTGCATCCAGAACATGATTTTCATAACTGTGGGTTGAACAGCAGGGCAGGTCCCGAAAATAAACAGTAAATAAATGGAGAAGCTAAACAACACAGTTAAATTGTTTTTGAAGCGAACACAGCAGGATAAACTTAAAGCATATGGACTTTGATGCGATCAGCGATTGCGATTGCGAGCAACAGACAGAGTTTTATGTCACGGAGGGAGTGCCGAGCTCGCTCGAGGCGACAGACGCATGCGCTATATGCGTAACGTGCAAGCTGACTACAGTTGGAAAAAGAGCACACGAGACACGTAATTAGGCTTAAAATACAGACATTTTGACAAATAAGTAACTGTTTGTAACCTTACCTCAGCTTAGAAGGCAGAGGATGTCGGTCTCTTCCGCTCAGATTCAGCTATCGGAGCATGAAGCCAATGTTTACTCACAATGCTAATGCTACCCTTACTCTCTGGCGCTCAAGAGGTAGAGGA